TGTCAGGGAATTCAATAAAACTCCAATTCATTGGGACAGGCTGAGATTTGCATTGTGACAAAGCAACTGCAGGTTTGACTCTCACAAGGAGAATAGTGATTAAAGCAATTTCAAAAGAGCTGTGCCTAGAGAAATGGAGCTAATTGCACATGGGGAGAACAATGAGACATTTATTCAGTAAGGGTCAATACCTGTTGAAAGAAAGCGACTGAAATCACAAGGCAGTGGAAGGTCATTTTGTAGCCAATTAGCAAGAGAAAAGTTATAGCTAAACTACTTACAAACTTGAGTTAGAGTTCGCTCAGGACCAAGTAAAACTAATCACAGAATTATTATTGCTGTACTAATGTTGTTGCTGATATTTTTTGTATTATATCGTATGAAGAATACATTTTAGTGCTAAAAAAAATTAATGCATAAGACCATCCCTATATAATATTAAATTTAAGAAAAAAAATCGACAGATCAATTCCTAAAAGTAAAACTTTATACATTTACAGATAACAACATAATCAAATAAAGAAAAGGCTACTGCAAAAAAAACAAATCACATTAAAGGATTTTATAAAGGCACGGTGGCTACATGGTTAGCGCTTCCACCTGGCAGTAGTAGAATCCCAACCAAGGCACCACCTGCCTGGAGTCTGCATGTTCTGCCTGTGTGGGTTTCCTCTGGGTACTCTGGTTTCCTCCCACGCTCCAAAGACATGCTGCTATGTGAATTGGCTCCTGTCTAAATTGCTTTAGTATGTGTATGTATGAATGTAAGTTAGGGCCCTTAGATTGTACACCCCTTGAGGGTTAGGGATGGATGTGAATGTACAATATATATGTAAAGTGCTGCATAAATTGGCGGCGCTATATAAGTACCTATAATAAATAAATAAAGGTATTTGGTCTATTTTGTTTTGTAGGTTTCTACATTTTTAAGCTGACATTTTATATCTTTTTATCATTTATGTATAATATTCATTTAGAGGTAAAGTTTAAATGTAGTGGGAGTTTTAATTGGTATGTTTTTTCTAACGAGAAAGCGTAGAAATAGATGCTTGCTTTTAGACTATTTCTTTCTCTCTACTTGGAAGTCTATAATCTGTACAGAAAAGGGAGGGAAGTGATAAAACAGAGTCATTCAGCTTTGTGTATAATTTGACCTTGAGCTGTTGAGCTCTGTAAACAAGCTTGTTTTTCAACAAAGAAGTTAAGATTAGCCTGGTACAGTCAAGCACGGCCCTTCACAGCAGCATGCTTTAGTACGCTAACAATTATTTTTTCTAAATGTTTTAATTATGAACATAAATGAAAAAAAGTATATTAAAAATAAAACAAAGCAATAAAATTTCTTTAAACACAATGACATTGTTTTAAATAGTCCCGCACATAACAACCAAATTCTGTGACGTTTCTGAATAAGTTAGATAATGAAAACTGCTAGTGACTGGAAATAAGCCACACAGTAATTTAGAGAGTACAGACTTTGCTGATGGGGTGCAGACAGGACAATTTGTCCTATTCTGTAATGAGAATCATCCTGAAGTGCTTTTATGGGGCTGGAGAGAGTTTTTATGGCAAAAATGAGTACCTATGGAAATTCTAAAAGCATGGTGATATGCAACCAATGGTGGTGGTTCAATTCTGTGGATGCTGACACACTGTCCAATATTAATGTTTAAAGTGGAACTTTAGTCAGAAAATTAAGCCCTGCTAGATCACTTCAGGGTGGCCCCTTTTGCAGGTATAGCTATGTAAAACATTTTAAATAAATGTCTATACTGTCCAGTAATACACTGTTTTACCCTGCTCTGCAGGTTTATCCCACCCCACCACCCCCTAGACCTGGCCATGGAACAGAGTAGGAAAATCAGCAACCGTGGCTGTGCCTTAGACAGCAGTGCACCCTAGGTGGCTGCCTAGTTCGCCTAGTGGTAGCACCGGACCTGCAAATAGACTTTTCACTAGACTGCAAAGGAATTTTCCTCAAAGTTTGAGTGAGGCAAAGCTCTACTGACCTCCATAATACATATTCTAATCATGTGCAATCAAAAACCCTTTTTTGTTTCTTTGTAAAGTGAAACGTCTCTACAGTCACTAAGCTCTGGGGGATACTCCCTTGCAACGTGCAACTTCCCTTGCAAAGTAAACAGCCTACTTGTCTTTAGTAAATCAACCTCTAGTCTTGCCTGACTGGCCATGACAAAAGGAGTGCAGGTACAATAGGAGACCTGGCAGATGCCCACCTTAGAGGTGAAACTCAAAAAATTAGAATATTGCGCAAAAGTTCATTTATTTCAGTAATGCAACTTAAAACGTGAAATTAATATATGAGATAGACTCATCACATGCAAAGCAAGATAGTTCAAGCCGTGATTTGTCATAATTGTGATGATTATGGCTTACAGCTCATGAAAACCCCAAACCAGAAAATTTGAATATTGTGAAAAGGTGCAATATTCTAGGCTCAAAGTGTCGCACTCTAATCAGATAATTAAGCCATAACACCTGCAAAGGGTTCCTGAGCCTTTAAATGTCTGGTTCAGTAGGAATCACAATCATGGGAAAGACTGCTGACCTTTGTACAGAAAACCATCATTGACACCCTCCATAAGGAGGGAAAGCCTCAGAAGGTAATTGCAAAAGAAGTTGCATGTTCCCAAAGTGCTGTATCAAAGCACATTAATAGAAAGTTATGTGGAAGGGAAAAGTGTGGAAGAAAAAGGTGCACAAGCAGTAGGGATTACCGCAGCCTGGAGAGGATTGTCAGGAAAAGGCCATTCAAAAGTGTTCAGGACTTTCACAAGGAGTGGACTGAGGCTGAAGTCAGTGCATCAAGAGCCACCACACACACACAGATTCTGGACATGGGCTTCAAATGTCGTATTCCTCTTGTCAAGTCGCTCCTGAACAACAAACAATGTCAGAAGCGTCTTAGCTGAGCTAAAGAAAAACAGACCTGGTCTGTTGCTCAGTGGTCCAAAGTCCTCTTTTCTGATGAGAGCAACTTTTGCATCTTATTTGGAAACCAAGGACCCAGAGTATGGAGGAAGAATGGAGAGGCACACACTGCAAGATGCTTGAAGTCCAGTGTGAAGTTTCCACAGTCTGTGTTGATTTGAGGAGCCATGTCATCTGCTGGTGTTGGTCCACTGTGCTTCATTAAGTCCAGGGTCAACGCAGCCGTCTACCAGGAGATTTTGTTGCACTTCATGCTTCCTTCTGCAGACAAGCTATATGGGGATGCTGACTTTATTTTCCAGCAGGACTTGGCACCTGCCCACACTGCCAAAAGCACCAAAACCTGGTTTAATGACCGTGGGATTACTGTGCTTGATTGGCCAGAAAACTTGCCTGACCTGAACCCCATAGAGAATCTATGGGGCATTGCCAAGAGAAAGATGTGAGACATGAGACAGAAGAGCTGAAGGCTGCTATTGAAGCATCCTGGTCTTCCATAACACCTCAGCAGTGCCACAGGCTGATAGTTTCCATGCCATGCCGTATTGAGGCAGTAATTGCTGCAAAAGGGGCCCAAACCAAGTACTGAGTACATATGCATGCTTATACTTTTCAGAGGTCCGATATTGTTCTATGTACAATCCTTGTTTTATTGATTGCATGTAATATTCTAATTTTCTGAGATTGTGGATTTGGGGTTTTCATGAGCTGTAAACCATAATCATCACAATTATGACAAACCACGGCTTGAACTATCTTGCTTTGCATGTAATGAGTCTATCTCATATATTAGTTTCACCTTTTAAGTTGCATTACTGAAATAAATGAACTTTTGCACGATATTCTAATTTTTCGAGTTTCACCTGCATGTTACCAGGCATTGAAACGAACACAAAATCATCTACCGCAAAGGGCCAGAAGTATTCCAATATCTGAATTCAAGTAGTGTGTATGATCATGTCTGAAACCAGATTTGTACAAATGAGTTTGTTCATTGCACGCTAAAATGTAAAGATGTGATGTTTCTTTTTTTAACTCTAATAAAAAGTAGAAAATATAAAAGTTTCAGTGATAAGGAAAAACTCTTTTGAACTAGCCCATCAAGTGCAGATTCATCAAGTTGTATATCATCGGAGAGCCATCATTCTGAAGATGTATAATGTAGTATGTCATGGCTTTGATGATGGATAAAGCAATGCACCATTACCTTGCTGATATGCTCTTGTCTGGGAGAGTCTGCTTGCAAAATTCCTTATTAGAATAGGTTGCCCTAAATGATTAATTATCAGAGCAATGGTGCATTGTGCTACAAATCTTCATAATAAGGAGCAATTGGGTAAGATATATACAACCTCTTTAGATTAATTGATATCTGTAAGTGATCATCTCTAGAGAATATCAGCCTATTATATGTCTATCTGTAAGTTCATTTTACTTATGCAATATTTAGACTATGTAAATGCAGAGATAAGATATATTTCTATTATGACAAACTCTTTAAAAATATACTGTAAGACACAAGTTAATGCAGCTCTGTAACCATTACATACATTATTTATTTTTTTAATTAAAGTGATGTAAGTGCCTTAATATGACTTAGCATTAGCCTCCTGCAATCCCTGTGCAGCAAAACTGAGAGATGGGGAGGGAAAAGCAGCATAAACAGCCAATCAGGTATGTAGCAGTGCAAGCATGCTGATAGGAGGAGAGAGCAGAGTGATGGAGCGATGACCCATCGGTATACTGGTTTTCCTTTCACTGCATCAAATAAGAGTGTGGGTGGGGAGAAGTCCTGAAAGAAAATATCAAACTGCAGCAGAGAGAAATCAGGTCCCAAGACCTGGATGGACAGAAATACAAATCCTTTGGCAGGTCGTCTGTTTATTTAGCTACATTCCTGGAGTTTAGCTTTAACCGCCTCCCGCCCGCCATATAGTAGAATGACGGACGCAAAGCGGTTCTCTCGTTCTGGGAGGACGTCATATGACGTCCTCCCATTCTAACCGCGCATGCGTGGCTCTGTGAGTGCGCAGCGCGGCGACCGCCAGTGCGCTGTGTCCCTCGGACACAGCGGATCACCTATCAATGGAAAGAGCCAAAGATGTTGGCTCGGTCATGTGATCAGCTGTGTCCAATCACAACTATTCACATGTAAACAGGGAAATGCCGGTTATCGGCATTTCTCTCCTCACAAGCCGTCACGCTGACAGCTCGTGAGGAGAGGAGAGCCAGTAATCGGCATTCCGTGGAGGGGACATGTACACTGATCATCAGAGCACTGATGATCAGTGTGCCTTGATGATCTGTGTAGCCCCAGCAGCGCCACCTGTCAGTGTCCATCAGTGCCAGCTCTCAGTGCTCATCCATGCCACCTGCCTGTGCCCATCAGTGCCACATTTCAGTGCCCATCAGTGCCACATATCAATGCCTATCTGAGCTGCCTTTCAGTGCCACCCATCAGTGCCAGTCAGTGCCACGTATCAATGACAGTCAGTGCCACCTATCAGTGCTGCCAATCAGTACCACCTATCAGTGCCAGTCAGTGCCGCCTATCAGTGTGCATCAGTGCCGCCTATCAGTGTGCATCAGTACCGCCTATCAGTGCCCGTCAGTGCTGCATATCAGTGCCGCCTAACAGTGCCAGTCAGTGCCACCTAACAGTGCCTATCAGTGCCATATATGAGTGCTGCCTTTCAGTGCCCATCAGTGATGCCTGTCAATGCCCATCAGTGCCACCTACCAGTGCCTCCTCATCAGTGCCCATCAGTGCCACCTATCAGTGTCCATCAGTGCAGGCTATCAGTGCCCATCACTACAGCCTCATTAGCGCAGATCAGTGAAGGAGAACAATCACTAATTTACAAAATTATATAACAAAAACTAAGAAAAAACTTTTTTTTTTTCTAAATTTTCAGTGGTTTTTGGTTTGTTTAAGAAAAAATAAAAAACCCAGAGGTGATTAAATACCACCAAAATAAAGCTCTGTCACAAAAAAAATGATAAAAATTTCATATGGTTACAGTGTTGCATGAACGCACAATTGTCATTCAAAGTGCAACAGTGCTGAAAGCTGGAAATTGGCCTGGGCAGGAAGGGGGTATAAGTGCCCTGTAGGCTAGTGGTTAAAGGGTATAGCAAAAAAAAACATAATATTTTGCAGCTTACCAGCTCTTTGATGTGGTGACTGCATTAGTTAAATTTTTTGAGGCTATATAGATTTTCGGCAAGAACACTAAAATTTCTGTTTAACTTATTGGGAACTCATCATTGTGCTTGTAACTTCCTGCGCACTGATCTTATTATATTAAATAATGTTATTGGCCTTTCTAGTTTTCTTCTGTGAACCGAAAAAAAATACCCCCCCCCCCTTATGTTATGGAGATGAGGAAATGGGATGGGGTGTTGGGTTGTAATCCAAATCAGCAGCAAACATCCTAGGATGACATTGCTGTTCCTCCATACATACAGTTCTGTAAATGAACATTGGGGTTGCTTTACTTAAACTACAGAGTGCAAAATCTGGTGCAGTTGTGCATGGTAGCCAATCAGCTTCCAGGTTTTATTGTCAAAGCTTAATTGAACAAGCTGAAGTTAGAAACTAATTGGCTACCAAGCACAGCTGCACCAGATTTTGCGCTTTCGAGTTTTAGTAAATTAACACCATTGTCTTTTTAGGGCAGCAAGAGAATGAATGACAATTTATGCAGGTGAAAATAAAGAAAATAAATCATAAAAAAAGTAAAACTAATGCACTGCCATATCTAAGGACTGATAAGCTGCATTATATTACATGTTCTTTGGTTTAAATGAGCTTTAAGTCAAATTCTGTGCCAAACTGAAAATTACATTTTTATTTTCACATTCATGGAAAAAAATACAAATGCAAAGAAAAGTAAACCATACCAACCAGCCAGAATTCATTTTTATTATTTTTGCTATCGTATACTAAGGTGAAAGCTAATTGACAGTTATTGCTATAGGTTTAGTATATTATTGATTGAAATCACAGGCTCAGTCAATTTAAACTATGGCATTTTCAACTCTGCCATCTATAAGCACACAAGTGGCCCAATGCGTCACAACATTGTGTAGCAATTTCAAATGTATCAGAAGTATAACTAATAACAAAGCACATATAGAAAAACTGTGACTAACCTGTCATTATCTGGATAAGAGACAAAGATGTCCTACTTGTGGCCTCTGAGGTCTGGTATAAAGCCTAGTAGATTGCTCTTTAAAGATTGTAGATGCTCTTTAGAAGATTGATCTCATGTGGCATCCAGCATCTGATCACTCTCCAGACTAAAGTTAAAGCGTATCTAAACCAAAAAGCAAACATTTTATAAATTGCAGCTTACCAATCCTTAAAGTGGAACCAAAGTCAAATTTAAAAAATCTTACAAGCAGGCAAGCTTACCACTGAAAAGACATGTTATCTTTCTTCTGCACTAAAATAAACTCACCTGCCTGCTCACAATCCTCTTTACATATGTGCAGCTCCATTTACAGAGCCAGCATTCCAGGATTACTAACCTCTGAGCATGTGCGGGGGTTACATCATCCTGCGCCGGCCAATCAAGATGGCCTACGAATGGTACCCAGAAAAAGTCAAGGAAAAGCTTTCAGCACTAGTGAGGGACCTCACAGACATCAGATCATTAGACAGCATGTGAGAATCTGTGGCTTTAGTTCTACTTTACATGTGGTGTTTGCAGTACTCTTCTTTTTTTAGCTTTATTTCCCCTTTTCTTCATCTAATCATTTTTCCACTTCCTTTATCAGACCAAGCTGTCCAGAAAAAGTGGCAGCTAGAAAATTGAGACAAACCATATACTCTGACACGGGTATTTACAATGGTCATTTTAAGGTCATCCATTTGGGCCTAATTTCACCCAAGTAAAAGCTTTAGGCTCAAATAGATAAAGTTAAAGTGGTTCTAAAGGCAGAAAGTGTTTTCCCTTCATGCATCCTCTGCGATAAGGTGAAAAAAACCTTATGCATGGAGCTCCCCCCAGTCACCTTATACTTACCTGAGCCTTATCTCGATCCAGTGCTGTGCATGAGAGCAGAACCTTTCTCCCTCCTTATAGACTTTGACAGCAGCGGAATCCATTGGCTCCTGCTCCTGTCAATAACAGCTAGAGAGGGAAAAAGTGAAGGTGGGGACGAGACAAACTCCGTGCGTCAATGGACACACGGAGCCTGGCTCAGGAGCACGTGTGCACGGGTGCCCCAATAGCAAGTGGCTTGCTATGGGGACACTTGGAATAGGTAAGGAGCCAGGAGTGCCAGTGCGAGACCCAAGAAGAGGAGGATCGGGGTTGCTCTGTGCAAAACTAGTATGACATGTTTGTTATTTTAACAAACAAATTACGCATTTAGAATCACTTTAAATGGGGGTATACATCTTTTATAAGTGGATTCACGCAAACCATAATAAATATAGACTGCACATTCAAATTCCTGCAGAGCCCATCTTGACTGTTTTTTTTCCTTAAACACATTTTATTAAAAGTTCATAAACCGCAAACATTTACTTTTCATTGCTAATTCATTGGCCAACTTAGACGCCTACATTATGGAGTAGTAGAGATATTTGGCCATGAAAAATACTTTATTAACCGAGCACAGATTGCAAAGTGTCATAATTGAAATTTCATATCGACACAGCTGGAGTTTTTATATTATCTTAATATTTGTGTGTTGCGATAAAACCATTCATGTTTCAGATAATTATTCTCCTACATACTCGAAAGCAATCACTGAATCGACTCCCCATCAACCTTTAACAGACATGCAGAACACAGTGCCAATTATTTATGAGTGTAAAAAAAGAAATAAATCACACTATAGCCAGTTATGTTATGTCTCTAAAGGAGCTCTGAATATTATTACACTGTGTATATTAAAGGCCATTTGTTAAAATTGAAATATTTGTGGCTGTGTTATTACAGATGAGCATTATATTATATGTACTGCTCCTTATCCAGATGTTTCCTAAGTGCAACATATAAAATAAAGGAGCATTTTGAAGCCATGCTGTCTGTTGGGTTCTGTGCCAAACATTTATTGACCATTGTTTTGAACTGGTCCTCTCAAAGCGTTATGGTCAGTGAAACATAACAGATTTATTTTTTAATTTACTGCTGGAAAAGACTGAGCATTATACCTAGAAATGCTTTGTGCTGCATCTATCTAATTGGATTGGAAGTGCTGAAAACAGTGTGAAATTAAATGAATTTTACAGCCCAATACACAGTAGCAGCTGTATTGTCATTTTTCTCATTTATGGGTTTATGATTTCTTTCTGCGATTTACTAAAGGAAATGAAGGTATGAACTCACAAAAATAACAACAATACTTTCAAAGAGCATGTATAATGAACTAAATTCACCCTTGCTATAATAAACCTTACATTACAATGAAATCTATAATGGAAATGGCAAGCTCCAAGTCCCCCTTTCCACAACTTATGTGAAAAGTCTGTTAAGGCTTTAATGTGTTTGTTAACACGCTGATTACAAAGACATTGGTGCAACAACTATTCTCATATGGTGTGCTGTGTTTTGTAGTTCTTCCACTAGTTGGCAGTGTAATGTTAATTTTTGTACTTCTTTGTGGGAATTTATTTATTTCAGGTACTTATATAGCCCCATCAATTTACAGAGCACTTTATATACATAAATTGTACAGTCAGTCTCTAACCCTCAAGGGGTGTACAATATAAGGTCCTTAACTCACATTCACATACTAGGGCCAATTTAGACAGGATCCCATTAACCTACCAGCATTTCTTTGGAGTGTGGGAGGAAACCGGAGTACCCAGAGGAAACCCACGCAGGCACAGGGAGAACATGCAAACTCCAGGCAGGTGGTGCCATGGTTGGGAGTTGAACCAAAACAACTCTAGTACTGCCAGGCGGAAGTGCTAACCATTTAGCCACTGTGCTGCCCTGCGAATATGTTTGAATTATGTCATTTCCTTTCGTACTCTACACCTGTTTCTGGTACCAAAAGAGCTTTATTGAGAAAGTAATTATACAAATGTGACTCTATAAAGCACAACCGTAATGTGTAACACAAGTATGGCAAATGAAACAGGTTCATATACTGTAGTATATGATGATAGTTTGGGCCTATTTGGCTGTAGCAACAATACAACAAACATAAAGGGGGGGTCACAATCCATATTTGATAACATGGTAGTGACCAAAGATTATACTGAAACATCTCTGAAAAAAGATCATGCAACCTGGTCCCCTTGATGTACACCTGCAAACAGTTAGTGACAATACGAAAATGTGGGACTTTCGAATGTGAAAATGTAAATGTAAAATTGGAGCAGTTCAACAAGAGATATTGTGGTCAGTTCACTAAAGGTGAGAATTTGATGTTACTGATGATGATGATGATCATCATCATCCAATGGAAAAGGAAGAGTGCGTCAGGTCTTCTACCAGTAAGTTTAAAAAAGGCAATATGAAAGGGAGGACACAGAGAGAAACATGAAAAACTACATTAATAAACTCAATGAGCAGGCAAAGAAATCACCACCCCTCGTAAGCCAACCAGGTTTGCACAAATAACATATCTATTTCTTCTCCAAAGTTGCTCATCTCAGGGCATCACAGTTTCTTTGTTGTCAGGCTTAGACGAGAATGAGGCATTA